CTCTTTTTTATTATTATTAAACAGTTTATTTATATTTACCGGCCTGAATATTCGAGAAATCTTGTTAAAAAAAAAGGCGCCCTTCGGCAGGATTCGAACCTGAATCTTCTAGGGGAAACCGTCATTAGACCTGACGTGCCTTGACCTCTCGTGTGTGTGTGCATTTTCTAAGCTTAGCTTAGTCTGGCACTGTCAGAAATATGAAGATCAAAATCATTACTCAGTAATAATCTTATGCAAAAATAGTTTGAAAACCATTTCAACACAACGACGGGGTACAATCCTACTCATCTTTCTCTAACGCTCTCTCTCTCTCTCTCTCTCTCTCTCTCTCTATATATATATATATATATATATATATATATATATATATATATATATATATATATGTGTGTGTGTATATATATATATATATATGTGTGTGTAAAGAGGCAGTGAGAGAACACTATATATTGAAAGAGATTCGGGTGGTTTGATAAGTACGGAGGATAAACTACATAGATACGTTGAAGAAAGCTTGAAATAGATAATAAATACATGAATAAGTTAGCTAAAAACGGCACTTGACACAGAGTGACCACCGTAGATATCGATGTATAAGGAGGTGTCAATCTTTATCTACAAGATGTAAATGGTTAAAACAACAACAACAACAAAAACAAGAAACGAAAAACTGTAACGATTCCGATGGTGTTGAAGACTGATGTCAGTGATGGAGATGATGAAGATCGTGTAATGCGTAGGTGTATGGTGGCTTTCTAGCAAATTCTCTATAATGGCTGCCCTTAGAAAAGCAGAACAAAAACCTCAACTGACGATTTAGGAAAAAGAAGGAAAAGACTTCAGGAAAATCCTTGGGATTTTCTTCTACATTTTTCTGTCATAACACATGAATCAGTGATCTATCTATCTATCTATCTATCTATCTATCTATCTATCTATCTATCTATCCGTCTGTCCCTTATATATCTATCTATCAGCCTGGTTTTTATCTCGGCCACTTCTATCTATTCAGCGAGATAGGTCATAGCAATTTATATAATATTTACTAACAGCTTTAATATCAATATTTACTGAGCATCGTTTCATCTGACTTCAGTGCTACAGGGGAGAGGAAGAAAATTGTTCTTGAGTTTGACGTGAAAATTAGCATTTTTTAAAACCTCAGCCTGAGTACCAACGATTGGCGCAAGTAGAAAATATGCATCGACCTCAGCTATCGGACCGGTCACATAATAGTTTTGTGTTTTCGTAAATATTTCTTATATGACACTTGGCAAATAAAGCGTGGCCATTTTTAGCCCTGGTAGTGTTATTGTCATTTGAATTATAAAAGGATTATAGTTACTGTCAATTGGTCAGCTTGTGCAGACAGTTGCATTAGTATTGCATCACCATAGCTTTTCATTCTTAATTCGGTGTACGTTGTAATTCTTTGACCAATTTATTGGGTTCGAGTACAAGGTTTTTCAACAATTCATACGTAAATATTTAGGTAACCCTTGACCAAATCTTTCATTCTCCATGTAGTAGATTTGAGTTTCAAAGATACTATTTTTTCGTATGAGGTTATTTCTTTTTCCTTTATAAGAAAACAATATTGACCATGCGAAATTATATCTTATTTTAAAATTTGGCGATAGTTGAAAAATATTGAAAATGGGGAGGTAGTGTAACGGTTAAGAACCAGGAAAAAGAAAGCGGCGAGCGGAGTTTGAATTCCAGTCGAGCTCGTTACGATCGCTTTTTAAAAAATATGCGAAATGGTATTAATCCTTCTCTTCTGCTCCGGCTATGGGCTAAATAGCATGGTTGACGGGGCTCTCCTGCCTGGAGATGGCAACCAGTATAGGAGAAGGTAACTTTTTATTCAAAACAAGCCTAGAGGAGGGATGAGCTCTGTCAGATCTCTAGACAGATCTCCGTTGCTATGGTTGCAGTGCATATGATAACCCTACAAACCCAATGTGTTAAGAAACGCATGCAATGGATCAATATAATACAAAATATAGTAGCTATAACATTTTTAGTCTCATACAAAGACTATATATATATATATGTCATAAACAGAGAGAAGACATTTATTAAGCGTTATGCGTCATCTATGTAGTAACTACTGCAAAAGACGTACAACCTTGCCACATCTGCGCAAGAGAATGTAAGATCCTAGCAGCACCCAAAAGCCACGTCCGCGCTCCCTATATTTGAGGATGGATTAAGCGATGGCATTGATCGAAATCGAGTTGAAGCTATCATATATATATATATATAATATATATATATATATATATATATATATATATATATACAGATAGGTAGAGAGAACGAAAAAAGAAAGAAAGAAAGAAAAGAAAGAGAGAGAGAGAGAGAGAGAGAGAGAGAGAGAGAGAGAGAGCGAAAGAATATTTTAACTTCTGCTAATCACAGTTCTGGCAGAACCTCTTGTAAAACGGGAGCCCGACTTCTCATTAGGATACCAGTTTAGCTTGATAATCTCTTTTTTTCTATTTACCTATCTCAGTCTGTTCACTATTTATCTATCTATTTATCTAAGTCTCCTTATATATATATATATATATATATATATATATATATATATATATATATATATATATATATATATATCTGTTTCTGTCTCATTCATTATACCAGTCGGTATTACAGTTCATCTATCTATCTATCTATCTATCTATCTATCTATTCACTGTTATATATCGTGATTAAAAAATGTTTCGAAGGTGTACTTAAAGCTTTCTCGGCTCGACCCAGATATAATTCCAAAATAAAATCTTATGTTTGGTTAGCTGGTCCGTCATTGAACTTGGATCGGCCAGAGAACCGTTCATAACCCGCTTCGTATAGTCATGCAGGGAGACAATGTGTTTGGTTGTAATTTGCAATCTGCAAGTGCTGCTTTTCATGGAAACTTATTTTACACTATTCTTAAGACCTTTTAAACTCTGATCAAAGTATCTAGTCTGAGGCGTAAAACTGCCTGCCAATCACATGTGGGGGTAGTGAAAAGTTTGCACTTCTATCCAATTCTGAAATTCTAAACAGAATTTGTTGAATAGATTCGTAATCAGGCAATGAACATTTCAGCTATTATCACACACACACATACACGCACACACACGCATATACACATACACGCACACACACGCATATACACATACACGCACACACACATACACATATATATAAAAAGAAGTGATAAATTTTATAAAAGTTAAATTTTGCCTTGATCGTCGTTGGCTGAGGCGGTCTAAACCACGTCGACGGTTTTCCCTGCCAAGGGGGACGCAGGTTTGAATCCTGTCAGAGGTCGCATATTTTTCTTTAATAAGATCTCTCGAATATTCAGACCGGCAGACAAAAATAAATAAATATACTGTTTAATACAAAAACGGAGTATCTACTCAAATATGGATATCTACTAAACATAACGTTTAAGTAATAATATACGTGTAAAGATTTCAGATAGAGTATATCTGTAAAAGGACAATATGAATAAAGACAAAAGTAAAAATTATCTTAGCCGAGGCATTTCGTCCTCTGAATGACTTTATCAAGGCAATATTTATTTCCGCGAAAACAGAAATTGTGGCACAAGGTCAAAAAAGGGAATGGGTAAGGCTGGTCATCAATCTTATATAACTAGCTAGCCACAATCACTGACCCAAACAAACTATACAATATTCCTTGCACCAAAACACCACATTCTTAGTACAACCACCATAATATCTCAAACTCTCTATGAAGTACTAACTAGTCCCTATATGTACAATTTGTCTGTGGGGATGGGGAATAAAATAACAACTTTTAAAATATGAAAATCCCAATGAATATTTACAATGTGAATAATACTATGTATACAAGAAACTAAACAAAATGTTGCTAGAAATTCCCCCACAATCCTTAATTGTGGCAGAAATATCAGTTAACTGGACGAAATTAATGTGAGACTTGGATAAATTAAAACTAATCATTCGGCCAATCACACACGCAACTAAACACTCAAAAACAATTAGGAAAAGCACACTCGGAATTCACCAGAGAACAGACATTTCTGGTCACCTAACAGGGGAGGGTAGGGGAAATTAAACTAAAGAAAGTGGGAACAAAAATAAAAGACGCCCAATGAGCATACATTCCATAGCTAAGTTAATCAAGTCAAAGCCAAAAAAAAGAAAAAAGATTTTATTTTGTAACAAGTATTTGAAGTATTGAAAGAAATTCGGGTGGTTTGATAAGTACGGAGGATAAACTACATAGATACGTTGAAGAAATTTCAATTTTTAAAAATTTAAGAACGCTGATAAATATTCATCAAGTTTGTTGAAAAGTCAGGCAAGCTATGAAGGACGCGAAGTGACACAATTCAATGTCTAATATATATATATATATATATATATATATATATATATATAGTATATATATATATATATATATATATATATATATAATATATATAGCTCAATATCAGAGGGATAAAGAGCTCAATATCAGAGATAGAGCGTGTGTAAATATATAAAGTGAACATAAAGTCAACACTTAGAGCCTCTAAGTGTTGACTTCTATATTCACTATATATATATATATATATATATATATATATATATATATATATATATATATATATATATATATTGTGTGATTGAAAGTAACTTCCTATTTTATGTATGAATGGCTAGCCAGGAGTACTGATTCAACACCCTGTGGATTTTTTCTTTGAGGTTGGTTAAATGAGCAAGTATACCAAATCAAAACTTTGGAAGAACTTGAATGGTTAATACAAGAAGTTATGTCTTCCATGCCACAAGAGTTCCTGGTGAAATCAGTTCACCCGATTCCTGGGCGGCTCGAGAAGCTGCTAGTGAAATTTGGTGCCCATATCGAATTTTAAATAAAACCTCATGCTAAACGCTTTCCTCTCATATCCATTTCTTGTAAAAACTATAGTTAATAAATAAATTATAAGTATTTTAAAATTTGTAGTTACTTTTCAATCACCCTGTATATACCATACTATAGACATTTACTAAACAGATTAAGAGCTACATCAGAGAAGATATCCTCTTCCTTAGCTCCATACCACAAAAAGTAGATCCAGGAACATTCTTGGCAACGTTTGACATTAGTAGCCTTTAGTACTCCATGAATTAGGTAAACAGGAAATCTCATTCTGGATTGAAAAACACCCAGAAATACTACATCCCAGATTCACCAAGGAATTCATTATCGGTAGTATAGACCTAATCATAAACAACAACACTTTTGAATTTAACAACAAAAATTATATTCAAACCTTAGGTACCGTGATGAGAACGAAAATGGTACCAACATATGCCACCCTAACCTTAGCTTACCTAGAGAAAAACCTTTATGAAAAGATAGATCAAATATATGGGGAAAATATAAAAAAAACACTTTACTAAATCTTGGAAGCGATACTTAGATGATTGCTTCATCTGGAAATCCTTATGGGGTGATATTAACCAATTACACAATCTACTCCAAAACTTACACCCGAAGATCAAATTCACCCAAGAATATAATTTTAACGAACTGCCATTCTTAGATATACTCATCAGAAGTAGAAATAACCACATTATCACAGATATCTACCAAAAACCTACAGACACCCAACAATATCTTCATTTAAAGAGCTATCACCCCAAAAGCTGTCTGAAATCTATCCCCTATTTCCTAGCACGTAGGATTTGCACTATAGTGGCCGACAAACATCCCCGAAAAACCCGCCTAGAAGAATGACATAACATTCAAAAAAAAAAAAAAACGAGTTTATCCCACACCACTAATAAACAAAGGTTTTGAACTAGCAGAAAAATACCTTTAGATCAACTAAAAACCCAAAGAAACGCAACAACAAACAAATTCTAGCATATGTCTCAACATACAAGAACAATCCAGAACTATTTACAGAAATAACAAGAAATCTAGACTTACAAGAATGATAAAATGAAAGATATACTAAAAAGAACCAAAATAATTAAAAGCAAACACCAATCAAAAAACTTAAAACACATATTAACCTCATCCAAATTTAGTCAACACACAATAATACAAGTGGTCACAAAATACAACAAGAAAAGATGTGCGATTTGTGATATCATTATAGAAGGAAACGCCTACACTTTTGAGAACCCCACAACAATGTGATTTATGCACTAAAGTGCACAAAATGCAACAAATCCTATATAGGTATCACCCAAGCACTAAACAAGAGAGTTTCCCTTCACAAATGCAATATTAAATTATCAGACAACAGGAAACTCTTCGTGTCACAACGCATCCACAAATGCAACAAAGATAAATTTAAAATTATGCCAATATATCAAACAGACAATTAATCTTACTTATAACTCCACACACATAAGTACACACCATACACAGATAGTGGTCAAACACACTAGTCGGACCCCCCCCCACACACAATGGGAACCTAAACACCATACAAAGTGTGTGTATTTATATATATTATTAATAAAACAATATATGTATGGAGAAGGAATATATATATATATATATATATATATATATATATATATATATATATGTATGTATGTATGTACTAGCAAAAACACACACACAATACACAAAGATGTAAAAAAGGTTTAAAATAATACAGAGGACATAAAAAGATAAGATCAAAGACATCATTCCTTCTCCTTTCTTTGACCAATTCTAATTGCTTTATTACCCCTTAAGTAAAGGAAGATTTTTCCACCAGTTCAAGAAGAATTTGGATTACTACAAAATACAAAAGACAATAGTTAAACATAAGAAAACATAAGAAAAAAAAATGAATTTCTTTAAATAATATGTGGAAATAACCATTTTTCGCCTGATGAAGGTCACAAGACCCGAAACTCGTGTAGCAAAAAATATGGAAAATAAAGTATAATATATAATTAAAAAATACACATTATAAGCAAAAACATTTGGGGCTTCTTTTTTTTCTCTTTAAAATATACACGTTTCTCTCGTTGGAACAAGTGCCTTAAAGTGAAGCCCTTATGATTATTATAGGATAAAGTTGATTTCATTTTATCGACTTTTCTTACTAAGACAAACATTTAAGAAAAGAAATGAGTTGAGATTTGTTAAACTAAAGTCTAAAAGATACAGCAGAAGCAAAAAAAAAAAAAAAAAAAAATCAAGGATTCAACCGCTTAAAGTGAATGGCGTTTTGTCTCGTAAATTATGTTCTCGTTAAATATTCTTTTTCTGATGACCAGAAAGCATATTGAATGTAATTAATTGGTAAAATCACTCCAAGATATTTAGCAAACTTAGATTACTCGTGTGTATCAAAGTTGTGGGACCACCATAATTATTAGACTGGTTTCGTTTTATTTGATATACTTTCTTTTAAATACTTATCGATTATTTATTGCAGATAATTCACCATCCATAAATCTATAAAGAAATACATAGAAATTAAAGTAAATGTATTTTTAATTTTCTCAATGAAATTCCATGTTTTTGACTTAGTTTTTAGCAGAAGAAAATAATTATTTTGTGATTACTTTATGAAGCTTTCGTTACTTATCGTTTTTCTTTTCTTCCTTTCCTTTCTGTTTTTACTTTTTTTGAACACGTGTACAGTAACCATAGAGGAATGACGTAAACTTGTTACTAAGGGCAACCGACGGATTTTGAAGAAAGGCTGATAGCAACTTTGGAATGACGTTAGACAGACAGACGGTCAGACAAATGGAGAGATTGGCAGATGTCAAACAGAAAGATTGAGAGACAAACAAATAGAAGAAACTGTGTAAGAAAGCATGGACAACTTTGATGGATATATGAACAGGCAGGCAAAACATTGAGAGACAAAATGAAATCGAGACAAATGAGTAAATGGTCGGGCAGAAACATAGACACATTGACTGATATATAGATTGACAGACAATAGACAAACACATATTAAACAAGCAGTCGGGTAGCAAGACAAACGGAACGTATATAATAAAATTAGTGGCATAAATAATAAATTTAATCCTAAGGAAAACTTGACGTTTCCGTCGCTCTTTGCGCGGCAACTCTGTTAAATGCATCAAGCGAAACGTTGCAGTAAATGACGTCAGGTAACTTGCATAGTCTGAATATACCTCGCCATTTTAATTACACCCCAAAATGTATACCTATGACTCAAGTTTAATAAAAATTGGCGCGATGTGACTAGGTAATAAACTTGATATTTTCCATTTTTTTTCTGCTTTTTCTCTTAGATCATCAATTCTTGTAAACTTTTCTTAAATTTATGTCTCAAGATAAGCTTGGTGGGGAAAACATTGAAGCGTTCTTTCATTGACTGATGAATTAGATGAATATCAAATATCATACAAGGCGGTGCTGAAAAGTTCTCGGCCGGATCAATTTCCCAAAATGTGACCAAATGTCCAAACATTAAAATTGTTGAGGAGCGTCTTTGTCGGCATTAGAACTTTTCAGTATTATATCATCGTCCTACTCATCACCCTCACCAGTCCCATGTCCGTATGTGGTCGATGGCTACGTATCTTCTTATGTCTCGGTTGCGTACCAGTGTCTGAGTCTCTGTGAAGGATCTTCCAGTTTCTTCAGTGACGTTATCACCACGTTTTTTCCCTCTTTCCGTTTGTTCTTCTTTTACCTAAGATCGTAACTTGTAGGATGGTAGTGGAATATATTGTTGACTTTTATAACGGTGTCCATAACATTTCAATTTTTTCTCCTTGATGGATATAAGGTTTTCCAACAGGTGTGCTTCTTGCTCGATGGTGTATCACACTGCGTCATTTTTGATGCGGTCTACCTAGGAAATGTTTAGGATGGTTCCATAAGGTTATCTCTCTTTATGTTAGTTTGCCACGTATATGCATGGGGCATTATATTAAAACCTCATAGTTTTTATTGTTTTAATCTAAAGTTACACAGTCATAAACAGTTTAGAATTATCAGAGAATTAATTTTATTTATTAGGTTTCAGTTTTAATTTTTTTTTTAAATCATTTCATCCGAAGCAATGCGATAATGCCTCTAAGACGAAAGTGATTGTTGAGAGTGAAATAAAATGCAGAAACGTTAGTGAGGAAAAAGGGAAATAAAAGAACAGAATTCAGGGAGGTAGGAGATGGCGATTGCTGCTGTATTTAAATTTTTGGTGATCGAAGGTGACAGGGAAGCAAGAAACCGGAAGTGAGTTCCACAGGCGAGAAGTGCGAAAAAAGAAACTTACGGTTATGTTTAGCTATTTCAACAGTAAAACGGCGAGACCTAGTTCCCAATTTTGCATTACGCTTTAATTCATGCAGTTGAAGTTCCAAGGAAGTAAAGCTCATTAGAACAACTGCCATGAAAATATTCATAGAAAAAGAAACAAGGAAGACACGTTGCGGCGGTGAAAAAAGTGATCAATGTCGAGATGATAGGTCGTGACCAATAACATCACAGACCCTTCTTTGGACTTTGTTAAGAATCTCGAAATATATAGCAGGAACATCAGACCAGATATTGTCATAATATCCACGCCATTATAATGACAAGTGTATTGCTGCGGATTATTACTAAAGAAATCCTCCGAAACATGCAGGTGATTTCTTGTGCTTCTTCATAGAACTGGGCTGTCATGTAACCTATTTGGAGAACAGGTTAGTCAGCTTACTGACCGGTGCAAATTTGTATCCGTCGGATATTGGCTCATATTTAGTTATTTTTTGTCCTTCCAACTGTCAGGCCACAGAACCAGGTGAAATGGGTGATACGATCAGATATTATAGTTTACCAATGCACTTTTCTTTTTCCATTACCTCCTCGTCTGTCTTTTCTTGTTTTTCTTCTTTATCCTCTTCTACTTTATCTACCTCTTACTTTTCCTCTTCATTTTCTACAACTAATATGTATGTCTTCTCTTCATCTATTATTTCTCCTTTTCCCATTTCGTCGTCGTCGTCGTCAGTTGGGCATATCGAAAGCATGTATTCCATCTTAAATAAATCAACAATGTTTTTTGCGACAATTTTTAACCTAAACTCGAAATTTTTATTGTTAAAAAGTTGAATAATTTAACACGTTTAACATTATGGATAAAAATGGGAATTTTATATAGTGTTTTTTCGAAACTTAGCATGAGCAAAACAAATCCACGGATTTGGATAACGGCACCCCCCCTCCCCCAAAAAACGAAATAAGGTTAAAAATATTTTTCATTCTTTAATACAGACAGTTGTGCTTAGTTTAATTTGTAACGTATATAAATGTAGGCAGAAAAAAAAGCAAATGTTGGTAAGATAGTGTCACAAAGTATTGCCCAGGGCCGCCATTCATGTTGACTACCCATCCCCAGCTCAGGGGTATTCATGGATAGTAAGAACTAGCTCTGTATGTAGCTTTCTCTCTCCATATATATATATATATATATATATATATATATATATATATATATATATATATATATATATATATATATATATATTTTGTTTTTTGTTGCTTGCCCGTGTTTTTTATCTAAATGCTATACGAACAAGGGTTAGTTTCATATGTGAAAAATTAATAAGGATTGCATAAATACCTTCTACTGCATACTCTCTTTTATCTTTCTTTTGGTCTATCTCGCTATAAAAAATTTAATGTATCGTGACTTTTACACTTTTTCATTCAGTCTTTTGATCATTGTTTCCTTATAGCCAGCCAAGTTTCTCTCTATCGTTCTTTTTTCTCCGTCAATTTCTTCTCTCTCTCTCTCTCTCTATATATATATATATATATATATATATATATATATATATATATATATATATATATTCCTTTTACCCGTTTCTTTCTTTCTTTCTCACCTTTCCTCCTTTACACTTCTTTTCTTCCCTCTTTTCTGTTCTATCGTTTTTCCAATTTTTGTCCCTTAATATTATTAACTAGATTCCCCGTTCAGCAATCGTAATGGATTCAAGCTCAGAATGGCCGGGTATTGAGCAGATTCTACACTTCGATCCTAACTAGAAAATCTGAACAGTCGCACATACAAACAAGAATAATAATGCTATAGGTTACTAAGCATATGAATTCTTATGTCGACTTCCAAAACCTGCCCTGTTAATTACCTCCCGCCACCACGTCTTTGTTATTGTGATTTCTGTATTCAGTTCTCTCAGTGTCATTCAAGCCTGTATTAATTTGCTCTGAAAAATAATGTTGCATTTTTTTATGAGACGGACTAAAATTTCATTCAAATGTAATAAGTGTTACATTTATTTTTGTCAAGTACATAAGCATCATTAATGTACTCACTACGAAAGTGATTCCGAACGAAAACTTCATTTAGATCAAAGTTCCCGCCCACGCCTTGGTTGTCGGAATATAGTCAATTTCACGTATTTTGAGGTTAGAGAGGCTCAGCAGATCTTTGCTGTCAAGAAGGGGTGATTATATTAACAGAATGTGGGGCACTACGACATCGTGTAATGGTTAACAAGCATGTTCCGCTAGATCAGTTACGACTGAGTAGTGAGTTCGATCACTAATGACAATGCAAGATCCCAATTTTGTAATGGGTTAGCCAAAAATTTCGTTCGCTTATTAAGTAGAAAATTTACTTAATAAACCGAATTTTGGCCAATCCTAAGCTAAACTGTTATACCGGAAAGATTTTCCGAAGTATCCGATGTTCATTAAAATGAAAACGTTATTTTTTTTCCAATTTATTCAGGTCACTTGAATATTTTCATAGTGGCAACATTTTCAAAAGTAGAGAAATGACTAATTCAGCATTATCAAAAGTCTTTTCTATCCAGAATCCAGGATATTTATTTTAACAACAAATCAATTTTATAACAAGTCTTTGTCGTTAATAATAACTATCATAGTGCCCATCAAAAATAAAAAACTTACGTACGTATGGATTGACACTACTACCTCATATCTGTTTACTCTGCCTTGGAAGAAAGTGTCGTTTACCTGCAATTATGATTCGAACGCGTGTAATAACAGTGATCAGTGCACACACACACACACACACACAAAATCTGTGTATTGATTTCTCTCTCTCTCTGTTTCTCTCTCTCTCTCTATCTCTCTCTCTCTCTCTCTCTATCTCTCTCTCTCTCTCTCTATATATATATATATATATATATATATATAAAGAGAGAGAGAGAGAGAGTGTGTGGGTGAGAGAGAGAATTAATGCAAGTAAAAGATTTTTTGTCACTGAGCTGATTGATGTTACCTTCAACATCCCGACTGCAGTTTCGTCGATGGATCTTCCGGGAATTACTCCGTCCACTCGTCAGGAGTGTATCTATTGCCTAAAACGGAAAAGAAGGCGCGAAGTAAAAATGCTAGATGCGAATGGAAAGAAAAGAGGACGAAAGGAAAAAATAAAAAAAGGTGAAGGGATTAAGACGAAAAGAAAGAGAGATACAAGATTCTGATTTGACTTTTATTACCCCTTTACTCCTTTGATCTTTTAAAATGGGTGAAGTTTTATTTATTTTTGGAGCTTGACGCAGGCCTTACGCGGAAAAGTGGGTAGATACTGCACTATTATTATATAGAAGATGATCATGTTTTTGACAAACTTTTGCTCTATTAAAAAAATGTTTTATGCAGTCTCTCAGGATTACTTTCAAAACAATCCATCTTGCTATATTTTATTAATATATCCACATGATCATATACTCCTGAACTGCCTGTACACTTTAAAATTTCTATTTAATTGTGTCAGTGCAACATTTTGTGGTAAATTTCTTTAAAGGTATTAAAGAGGTCAAATCTGCATTATCAAAATGCTTTTCTTCTAGAATCCCAGATTTTTTTTTCAATAAAAGAATAAATGTCTTGATTATCGCTTACTGGACGCGCTTAGGAAAAGATGCAGTGATTTATCACCCGTTAGATAATCCTTTTGACACAAAAGAATTGAATTACTGAACAAAAAATGAAAAAATTAATATCTTTCAAAATTCATTGTTCGTTTCGATTATACGAGTCTTGAAATTCCTCGTTGGTAAGACTAGAGTGACCAAGTTCGCAATAAATTTGTAAATAAGTAAAAGTTCAAAGAAATGGTTTTTCCTTTTCCTGATGTACGGATTTACCTCTATAAAACTGGAAATAAGTGTTTAAACTTTATATTTATTGATTTACAATATATATATATATATATATATCTATCTATGACTATACTTTTATATATATATATATATATATATATATATATATATATATATATATATATATATATATCAATCTATGACTATACTTTTATATATATATATATATATATATATCAATCTATGACTATACTTTTAACGATAGAGTATCCAATGCTGATCTTCTTGCAAAATGCAATATGGTGGAATTGAGACTTTCCTGAGGCACTCTTAACTTCGTTTGGCTGGTCATGTTACAAGGATGAGTGACAACAGAATAGCTAAGGCCCTCATGTTTAGCCAGCTTGACAGTGGACAAAGGAGTGTTGGACGGTCGTGGCTTAGGTATAAAGACAAGCTAAAGAGTAACCTCTCAGCTGTCAATGTACTAACTTCGAGCGAGTTGTTCTGGATAGAAATAACTGGAGATATTTGTGCCAGAGTGGCATCAGAAATTTTGAAATTAGTCGTATTCATCGGCTAAGAAACGAAAGACAACGGCGAAAAACGCCAGCAAATATTCCTGTTGCTATGACTCAAGATCCTCGCTCTTGTACAATATGTGGACTGGTGTGCAGGTCACTAACGGGGCTGAAGTGTCACATTCGGCACAAATATAAAAATTGATTGAGTTTGTTGGATCGTATACGTCGAAATCGACGGCAGCGTCCATCATTATGTACAGGGTGCGATGAATAAATTGTCGTCATAATTACACAAAAATGAAAATAACACTGACATCTTATTTTAACAGATATATTTACAAAAAATAACACAAAATATCTTGAAATACTAAAGAGTAAATTTATTCAATATAATTGCCATTGGCTTCAACCACGGCTACAACTTCGGAATCTCCTGCAACTCTTTTGGACGATCCCCACGTTTAAGTTGGTGAATACTGCTATAATCCTTGTCTTCAGTTCATCTTTGGTGTTACAAGGTGTTTTGTTGGTTTCTCACTCAACTGTGCCCCACACATAATAATCAAGGGGGTTGCAGTCTGGGGACTTATGTGGCCACGTGTAAGGAGGTATGTCGTCGCAGAAATAATTTGACAGCCATGACTGTGTTCTCCTGCTGGTGTGGCATCGTCCAGAGTCCTGTTGTCAGACACAGGGTCTTCCAGCAGCCACCCACTTTTCCCAGGGCAGCACTGCCTCCTCAAGGTACTTGATGTAGGTCTCTATATTGAGTCAGAGGCCGTCACCAATAAATTCGGGAGTTCTATTCTTATCAGAACAAGCAGAGTGAGTTTTCCGAACTGTCGTTCCTTTGTAATCACCATTAGACTCCTCAAACTCTTTCCGAATCCTCTGCACCTGAGATTGACACACAAACACTGTGAAATGTTCGTATTAGAGCTTCCGACGCAGATACCAAGCAGTACAGCGTGTCATTTTCAAACTTCTAATGGGAGGGATTTGCGTCCTGGTGCTTTTTTTTTTCTTCTCACGGACAGTGCTCAACTGACCCTACTATACTGTGCAACCGACAAAATAAAAAAAACAATCAACGCGCAGGCGTGATATTAAAAAATATAAAATGACAATTTACATCGCACCCCATATATATATATATATATATATATATATATATATATATATATATATATATATATATATATATATATATATAAATAAATACTTTACAATTAGAATCAAGATACCTTTAGTGAATGACCATTTTTCACCTACAATTTTAATTTTAAATTTCGCAGGATTTTAGAACTGTTTATGGAATAAGTTTGTAGCGGGATAATGTTTAGTTGGACATTTCCTCTAACTGAACAGTATTCCACTACAAACTGATACTATAAAAAGTTTGAAAAATCCTGCGAATTTTA